TTAACATTTATAGCATCATGTGAACTTAGATTTATCGGAGATTTATCGGAGCACATACTGATGCATGCGTGCGTACGTGTGTGCGTGCTATCTATACACATGTTTAGTTATACATATACAGGATATTATCCTTAGGAAATTTACAACATACTCAAAAGAATGAAAGATCTGTCGAACATTTTTAGTTTTAAATATCTCGTATTCTTCCTAAAGTCAGGTTTTAACTTTGCTACTTAATTTAAGTAAATAATTATAAAGTTAGATTAGTATTTATAAAATTATTTGAATTTTTGGTAAACTTTTACATCAGGGAATATCTTTTCAATGACCTTGATCTTGATATATGTTATAAAAATGAAGGTATTGATCAATTTTTCTTTACAAATTAATCAGCGGTTTCTTATAGTTTCTAAGATATTTAAATCTTTGCCTTACTAATGACTCGCTCTTATCAAGGATAATTTCAAATGAAAATAGAACGCTTCTGAAGCAGGGAGGAAAGTAGAATGAAATTCGCTTTGCGTGGAAGCCGCGCGCTCCTAAACAGGAGAGGAGGGAAGATGTGAGATGGAAGTCGCATGCCCCTAAGCAGGGGACGTGGGATGAAAGTCACTTTGCATGGAAAATCATGCAATATACAGAAAATAATGAAATTTTGAAAATAAGTTTTATGTAAATTAATAAGAATTACTAGTTGGACTTTCGAAATTAAAATAATATAGGAAATTAAGCAAATGAGAGTTTGATACGGTACTTGATGCACAATAAATGATTATGTATATATAAATTATATTCTTGATTTGAATGAGTGTACAACAAGTCAAAAATATAATTTATATATACATAATCATTTATTATGCATCAAGTATCGTACCGAACTCTCATTTACCTAATTTCCCATATTATTTTAATAAATAAATTAATAATATAAATTAATGTAAATATATCTCGAAAACTATAAGAAACCGCCGATTAATTTATAAGGAAAAGTGATCAGTATCCTCATTTCTATAACATATATCAAAGTCAAGGTCGAAGAGATGTCCCCTAATGTAAAGGAATACCGAATCTTTTTTTTATTGCAAGAGGTATTTATCATGGAGTGATCCGTTTGACCACATTGCGACCATCAGTCACTGGTTAAATGAGTCTCTTTCATTTATTACAAGCATTTTAAGATGACATTGTCAAACATGCATTACTTAAAACAAAAGTTATTCAATTTTGCTTTAAATTTGTTGCTACTTTTCAAAAACACTCTATGTACATATGTACTCATTGTACATATGTATCAGTCATCATAATATATGTTGTGTAACATGTATTTTTGCTATATATGTTACTAATATGTTTATAAATTCGCGAGTTAAATTAGTTTACCTTATGTGTACATATAGTCTAATGTTAGATATACTATCTTACAATGTAAAACGTTTTTTTATATTCAGCGTTAATGTATGTAAATTATATTGATTTATTACATATTTAACAACATTGTATATATGATGTTAGAGAAGAAAGAACATTTAAATTTATACGAAAAAGAAAATTTTCTTCTTGTTTTGTAATCAAGCTTCTGAATAAATTTTAACTGTTTTTTTTTATTAAATTATTTCTATGAATAATAACAATATTTTTGAAAAAATTAAAATTATTATTTTATTAGCATCTTTTCTTCTGTGATAAAAGTCACAGGGATATGTCCATCCAGGATTGCAAATAATTAATTAGTTTTTAAATTAAATTACACGTTTAATTAATAATTGAAACGATCGAATTCAATTAAATATCATTCAACTGACGATTGTTTTAAGTACATTTAATTAAATCTTTTTGATTGACAAATGATTCAAAAACACACGGAATTAATTAAAAGACTTTTTAATTGACAATTGAAATGATTGAATTTAATTAAACACATCATTCAATTAACGATTGTTTTAAGTACATTTAATTAAAACATTTCGATTGATGATTGATTCAAGCGAAATTAATTAAAAGACGTTTTCTAGAGTTTAATACGCTCATGCGGCCGATTTACGAGATAGCGCTCACGGACACGCACTCTTGAACCGCTGAAATGAATAATATGTTAAGAAGAAGAACAAGGAAGCATTTATTAATACAGAATAGAATACCGCGAAAGATGTTAAATGGAGCAATTAAGAGATATGTCCGTACGCATAAACAGCTTATATCCAAATCTGACGATCTTGTTGTCAGACGAATCACGTTGCCTAATCGTCGGCAACGTGTGCTCTTCGCTACACTATGGGCATCGGCAAAACAGGGGCATAACAATATTAATTATAATTGGCGCATTATCTAACAGATAATATTAAAAATGGATCATTTTTCAGCTCAAGTGGTTTTACAACAAGTTAGTTTTAAACGTTACGACTGCATCCAAGATTTGTTTAATAAGACCACCGCTGATGTCTATTAAGCAGATAAAAAGATGTATTTACAATTTCAAGTCTTTTTCAGATAATAGAACATCTATTTTTACACGATTTCTATTAGATGTACAACTTTGCTTCCGCCGTTTTCCTATAGATGGCTTTAGCGGTAAGTGGTGGTCGAAATAAATAGATCATAGACATCATACAATAAACTTGGGCATCTGTCAACATAACCCCATAGAAACATTAATCGATTTGTGTCTGCATCATAAAGTTATTCTCGATTGAAAATGTCAGTTTACGAGCCAAATTCTCGTCATTTGCGGGAGGTTTTAATTTTTTGCTTCAATATGAAGAAATCTGCGGCTGAGGCTCATCGAATGCTCTCAAATACTTATGGTGAGGCCGCTATTAGTGAAAGAACGTGTCGTGAGTGGTTTCAACGCTTCAAGAACGGTGATTTTGACGTCGAAGACCGGCATAGCGGTGGAAGAGAGAAGGTTTTCGAAAATGCAGAATTGGAGGCATTACTTGAGCAAGACTCGTGTCAAAATCAAGAAGAATTGGCACGATCATTGGGAGTGACTCAACAAGCCATTTCAAAACGCCTCAAAGCCATGGGAATGATTCAGAAGCAAGGAAATTGGGTGCCGTACGAATTGAAGCCGAGAGATGTTGAACGGCGTTTGTTTGCTTGTGAACAGCTGCTTGAAAGGCAAAGACGGAAGGGATTTCTGCATCGCATTGTGACTGGGGACGAAAAATGGGTTCATTACGATAATCCCAAGCGCAGAAAATCATGGGGAGTTTCCGGCCATGCTTCCACGTCGACGGCCAAACCGAATATTCACGGCTCCAAGGTCATGCTCTGTATTTGATGGGACCAGCTCGGCGTAGTGTATTATGAACTATTCAAACCGACTGAAACAGTCACAGGCGATCGGTATCGAACGCAATTGATGCGTTTGAGCCGAGCATTGAAAGACAAACGGCCGCAATACAACGAGAGACAGGATAAAGTGATTTTGCAGCATGACAATGCTCGACCCCATGTTGCGAAAGTGGTCAAGACATACTTGGAAACGTTGAAATGGGAAGTACTACTCCACCCGCCGTATTCTCCAGACGTTGCTCCCTCTGACTATCACTTGTTTCGATCAATGGCACACGGCCTGGCTGACCAGCACTTCCGGTCTTATGAAGAAGTAAAAAATTGGATCGATTCGTGAAAGCAAAAGACGACCAGTTTTTTCGACGCGGGATTCGAACGCTACCCGAAAGATGGGAGGAAGTAGTGGTCAGCGATAATACTTTCAATCATAAATGTACAACCAGTTTTTTACAATAAAGCCTCGAATTTCGGAAAAAAAACGGCGGAAGCAAAGTTGTACACCTAATATATTGAATAAGACTCACAATTATACATAATCAGAGTAGAACATCCACTATGAAGAATTTTATATTGTATTTTTGTTACGTCCAGATTCCACAGTTCTTTTCTTCGATTAAAATTTTCGTCATCATCATAACATTATTAACAAGTAACATCGATAAACCATCTGTTTCTACCACAGGAAGTAGACAAGCCGAATAACGTTCACCTTTTTAGACTAATAATTCACTCGGGATGAAGTTGGATTAAATATTTGAACTAAGTGCTGAATAGACGAACTTTATTCCGAGAAATAGAAGAAGTAAATAGATTAAGAATTATAAACTGAAACAGCAGTTGTCTGTAATAAATGATCCATGTAGTTCTAAACTATTGAGCATCCGGCAAATGGTCGATGACGAAAGTTGTTTTAAACACATATTCTATTTCACAACCGTTTTATCCTTAATCTTAATCCTAGATTAGATCAGTAACATATGCGAGGTCTGCATGTGGCATTACTTGCGAATATAAAAAGGAATTCCTTCGCGAACAGTCAATCAAACTCCATCTCCGACACGAAATTCTGCCGGTTCGTGATTACAAGTT